GCTGTGTGACCTTGGGCAAGTGATTTAACTTCTCTCCACCTCTTTCCTTACCTGAGACAAGTACGGATTGTGGTGATGAATGTGCTGTGGGCTGTGATATGTATCTGACTGCATATTCCTATGTCCCCGGCCAGAGTGAGCAGCTAATCTCTTTTGTCTTCTTTCCTTCCTCTGCCCCCCAAAACACCTTCTCTTATGCTATTAGAATTTTTTTTATTTCACTTTATTTTATTTTTTGAGAAGGAATCTCCCTCTGTTGCCCAAGCTACAGTGCCATGGCATCAGCCTAACTCACAGCAACCTCAAACTCCTGAGTTCAAGCAATCCTCCTGCTTCAGCCTCCTGAGTAGCTGGGACTATAGGCACCTGCCACAATGCTCAGTCAATTTTTTCTATTTTTAGTAGAGACAGGGTCTCACTCTTGCTCAGGCTGATCTCCAACTCATTAGCTCAAGAGATCGTCCTGCCTCAGCTTTCCAGAGTGCCTTCCATGAGCCACCATACCCAGCCATTATTTTCACTTTGTTAACACTGCAAAAAGTGGTGTGGGGATTCATCCGGGACAGCCAGAGCCATTAAAAAATATATAAAATATCTGAGATGGGCAAGCCAGCCACATACACCGGAGCTGGCAGATTCAAATCCAGCCTGGGCCTGCTAAACAACAATGACAACTACAACCAAAAAATAGCCAGGTGTTGTGGCGGGCACCTGTAGTCCCAGCTGCTTGGGAGGCTGAGCCAAGAGAATCGCTTACACCCAAGAGTTTGAGGTTGCTGTGAGCTATGACGCCATGGCACTCTACCTAGGGCAACAGCTTAAGACTCTGTCTCAAAAAAAAAAAAAGAAATAAAGAAATATCTGAGATGATTAAAGTGCTTATCAAATTAATTGTTTTCCTCTTATAGGCAAAGGATAGTCATTCAGTGGGTGGAGGCTTTGACTGAGAGTGTAGTGTGTGTTTCAGACTAAGAGTATTCTTGTTAAGGTATGGGCCGTCCAAGGTGTTATAGTTGGGTCCTTGGGACGTTAGAGGAGTGGATAGAGCCATATCCCACAGTTAAGCATTTATTAATTTTTGGTCAGTGCCTTGTCCAGAAAAGGCGGTGATTTTTTTCTCTATTCTCCCTCACCTCAGCAATTGACTTGATTAAATCAGCATTCATGGCTTCACCTGGGAACTTTGAATGTCTTCATGGAAAACAGTATTTTCTGGATTTTAAAATCCTACAACTTTTTAGGATTTGAGAATCGTCCTTTTTTGTAATTCTGATTTGATGTGAAAGCTTAGTAACTTGGAAAATAGTATAAAATTCACTTGTTCTGAAAGATTTTTCAGCAACAGAAGGGAGGGGTTTCTGTTTAGGATTAGGGTTTAATCCTTAAAAACTATTCCTCCAAATGAAGAAGCTGGCAAGTCTCCCTATCTCCCTGGCTGAGTAACTGTTGCCAGGAAGCAGTGGTTTCTAAGGGAATTCCGACATGCCAACACTGCAGGAGTCCTGCTGTTGGTTTTGTGGTTGTCTCCATACCTGGTCTGGAGAGAGTAGGGGATCCTGTGTGTATTTGCTAAATGAATCTAGGTAGGACTCAAAAGTCACTACAGTTTTTTAGACAAAAAAAAAAAACTTTTTTTTTTTTTTTTGAGGCAGAGTTTCACTTTGTCGCTGTCAGTTGAGTGCCATGGTGTCCTATCTCACAGCGACCTCTAACTCTTGAGCTCAAGCAATTCTCTTGCCTCAGCCTCCCAAGTAGCTGGGACTATAGGTGCCCACCACAACACCAGCTGTCTTTTAGAGGACAGGTCTCACTCTTGCTCAGGCTGATCTCAAACCTGTGAGCTAAGGCAATCCACCCTCCTCAGCCTCCCAGAGTGCTGGGATTACAGGTGTCAGCCGCTGTACCCAGTCAGCAAACATTTTTATTTACATTTTTGAGCTTCTGAAAAGCAGATGAAGCAAAACCAAGAAATGGTTGTTTGGCCCTCTGGGCTTTCTTGTGGTTAACCAGGATAAAGGGCTCATGTCTATAGTTTCAGAAAGAGAGGTGAGAGGTAGCAATCTATCTTACATTTTTTGTTGCATAAAATTACTTGTACCATAATATGTTGAAAAATAAATACTGAAATTCCTTTACAAAATCCTTTTACAAAATCAAATACAAAAAACAAGTACCTAAATATAAACAAATCTGAATTTAAAATGAAAGAGTTTTTTTCCTGAAAGTTAGGCCAGAAATGTAGGAGCTCATTATACACAGCAAAATACAGTACCCATGTTGTTATTGCACTCAGCTTTCCTCAGAAGAAGAGAGAAGCGAATAACTCGTGCACCTCGCCTTGGACTTGAAGATTCAAAAGCGCTGTCATCTCATGTTCTTGCAGGGTACCTCCAAAAGCAGCCCTACTTTGGAGCAGTGGTTGGAAGGGTAGCCAACCGAATCGCCAAAGGAATCTTCCAGGTGGATGGGAAGGCGTATCACCTGGCCATTAACAATGGGCCCAACAGTCTGCATGGAGGACTCAGAGGGTTTGATAAGGTTGGTTGGGACGTGTGACCGAGTTCCTTCTTGGCTCACTTCACAGAGGACCTTCAGCATAGCTTCCATTTGCTAGGCACAACCCTAGGTCCTGGAGCACATGTGTGGTGAGTTGATACAGGACAGAGCTACTCCCATGGCTCAGGGGAGCGGGTACAGTGGCCGTGTGCCAAGACCCATCCTTTTCTAGCTCATTCACTGTAACAGGTGGGGGGGGGGCAGGTGAAAGGTTGATAGCCATTGACTTAGGAAAGACAGGGAACAACTTTCTCACAGCATTGAGATCAGGGAGTTGTGTTGAGGAGATGTGGATTAATAATAATACCTACCAAGTCCTGCACAAGGCATTCACATACATCTCTTACCCTTACTAGAACTCACTGTCATCATGAGCTGGGGAGACTGAGGCTCTAAAGAGCCACCCAGCTCCTAAGCAAGACAGCTGGGTCTGCCTGGCCCAAACCCTCACTTCTCTACCACTGAAGCTGCCATTGTCCTCTAAGACTGCGTGGGGACCCCCATCCTGTCAGGAAGCCCCCCCCCAATGCCATGGCAATGTGCCCAGGCTACTCTTCCACTGAAGTGCCTCGTACCTCAAAATTACCTCAGGTTCTACTCAGTTCCTCCTTTCCACATAAAAACCCATTCCCCTGGTGAATTCCTGGAAAACAAGGTCAGGAAAGCAAACAGAGCAAATAGCTTCTCCCTGAGGTGGGGAATACTGGCCTTCTCTTCCTGGCCCCATGTGGGAGTTGGTAGGTTAATTTCAATGATTCTTCTCTAACTAGTTTCAGGCTGTGAAGGAGAAAATTTAGGTAGTTAACTTTCCTACATTATACCACCCAGATTACTTGCTAGAGAAGAGCCAGAGAAGATGCAGTGGCATGCCTGAAGTCCCAGCTACTTGATAAGTTTGGTTGGGACATATGATCGAGTTCCTTCTTGGCTCACTTCACAGAGGACCTTCAGCATAGCTTCAATCTTGGAGCCTGAGGCAGGAGGATTGCTTGAGCCCAGGAATTTGAGGCTAGCATGGGCAACATAGCAAAATCCCCATCTCTAAAAGAAAAAAAAGAAAATTGTCCAGGTGCAGTGTCTCATGCCTGTAATCCTAGGACCTAGGGAGCTTGAAGCAAGAGGATCACTGAGGTCAGGAATTTGAGACCAACCTGAGCAACATAGTGAGGCACTGTCTCTACTATTAATTTTTTTAAATAGCCAGGTATGGTGCTGTGTACCTGTAGTCCCAGCTACTTGGGAGGCTAAGGTGAGATAATCACCTGAGCCTAGGCATTCAAGGCTGCAGTGAGCTATGACTATGCCACAGCACTCCAGCCTGGGTGACAGAGTGAGACCTGTCTCGTAAAAAAAAAATCTTGGGAGGCTGAGGCGGGTAGATTGCCTGAGCTCAAGAATTCAAGACCAACCTGAGCAAGAGTGAGACCCTGTCTTTATTTTATTTTATTTTTTTGAGACAGAGTCTCACTTTGCCACCCTCAGTAGAGTGCTATAACATCACAGATCACAGCTCACAGCAATCTCCAACTCCTGGACTCAAGCGATTCTCTTGCCTCAGCCTCCCAAGTAACTGGGACTATAGGCACCCACCACAACGCCTGGCTATTTTTAGAGATAAGGTCTTGCTCTGGCTCAGGCTGGTCCAGAACCCGTGAGCTCAGGCAATCCACTCTCCTTGGCCTCCCAAGTGCTAGGATTATAGGCGTAAGCCACTGCACCTGCCCCCAGAGACCCCATCTTTAAAAATAGCTGGGTATGGGTAGTGCCTATAGCTCAGTGGGTAGGGCACGGCCACATACACTGAGGCTGGTGGGTTCAAACCCAGCCTGGGCCAGCTAAAATCAACAGTGACAACTGCAACAAAAAAAATAGCCAGACATCGTGACAGGCACCTGTAGTCCTAGCTATTTAGGAAGCTGAGGTAAGAGATTCACTTAAGCCCAAGAGTTTGAGGTTGCTGTGAGCTGTGATGCCACAATACTCTATCTACCTAGGGTATCATAATAAGACTCTATCTCAGAAAAAAAAAAAATAGCTGGGCATTGTGGCAGAGGATCATTTGAGCCCAAGAGTTTGAGATTGTTGTGAGGTATGACAACTTTACCCAGGGTGACAAAGTGAGACTCTGTCTCAAAAAAAAAGAAAAACTGAAACCAGGCTCTGCAGCTTATGCCTGTAATCCTAGCACTCTGGGAGGCCGAGGCAACTGAATTGCTTGAGCTCAGGAGTTTGGGACCAGCCTGAATAAGAGGGAAATCCTGTCTCTACTAAAAATAGAAAAAGTAGTTGTATGTGATGGTGCACACCTATATAGTCCCAGCCACTTGGGAGGCGGAAGCAAGAGAATCTCTGGAGCCCAAGAATTTGAGGTTGCTGTGAACCATGATACTGTGGTACTCTACCCAGGGTGACAGAGTGAGAGTCTGTCTAAGAAAAAAAAAAAGCAATAAGAGCCAGAGAGGACAGAAACACGTATGGGGTGCTAATGGACATGGTTTCTCTCTTTTTTTTTTTTTTTGCCCCTGACCACCACTGGGCTTGTTGAAGGAAGTTTGTGGCTCTAGATTCCTCTTCCCCATGAGCTTCCTGTTTTTAGTCTAGAACCAGGCTGTCCCATTGGTTTCCCTTTCCTGTGTAACGGGACTCCTCACGCCAGGGAGAGCATAAAGATACAGGGTGGTGTCTTCTCTGCCAATATTAGGGCAGAGAGTCTCTAGAACATGCTGGGTCCGTAGGCAAACCCCAGCTGAGGAAGTAAGGCCCAGTGTGGTTTCAGACAGGGATCTGCAGAGGAGCCTTAGAACCCCACCTTGTCTTAGCATGCTCTAGCTGTCTCTGTGGTGTATTCCCTGCATGGACAGAGCAAAGTTGTGAGTATACACATCCTCTGATGTAGCGCAAACTACATTGAAGCCTCTTCTGTGAACCCGTGGATTCCTGAGGTCCGCAGTATAGGGTGGGAGGCAGACCTTCATGTAAACAACGGTTACAGGCGAGCTGCAGCAGGTGCTGTAACCTGGATGGTAACAGTGCGCTGTGGGAACTGGGGGTGAACAAATGAATGGCAACTGAGGAGGCAGGATTTGAACCTCCCTTGAAGAACAGATAGAGTTTCATTCAATGTGTGAGTATGGCTGAGAATGGCTGTGTAATAGAGTAGCCCCCCAGAGGGGAGGGGAAAGACTTTGAACATTTTTTATGAAGCCACTGAAAGTTTTGAGCAGTAGGTTTTGATATAGTAACATGAGCCTTATCAGATGAACTTTGTTTTGTGTTATACTGGATAATTGTTGGCTTGGAAGTATGTGTTTTTCTCTTTATATAACACGTTTTTTTAAAAGACAAAACTTTATAAAGTTGAATAACCTGATGGGATTAGAAATGGTAGAAGAAAGCCTAGAGGTGCAGAATTTCTGGAAATTTGGGAACTACAGGGTCAGGGAAATCCTTCTGTGAATAGGAATTATACTTAACCAATAATATTGGTTTACATGAAAATCTTTCCATTGTCTTCCTTCTCAACAAAATAAAAACTAAGTACATTTTATTTCAAATATTTACTTTCTGAAATTTTCCATTTGAGATATTCTGTTTCATTTTTTAATTACATGTGTAACAGGCTTTGTATTTTGAGTTTCTTGTAAGTTCAATATTTCTGGGAGATAATGAGGGTGTAAAATTAATTTTTTACTAAGGTCAGTGAATTTGTTTCAGATACCAGCTGCTTTCACTGTAGGAGGGGACAGAGACCTTCGTTCCTGCTGGGCTCCCCTTCCTAGCAAATGCAAATGAGAACCTGATCCTGCCAGGAGTGGGCAGATAGAACCTGAGTCTCAGACCACTCCTGTGGCCCACAGAGGTTATTATCTTTCAAGTCTATTTGGAATGACAGAATTTGGCCTCAACTTTTCTGTTAAAAATGGAGATTTGAACAACCCTTTGCTGAAACTAAAATGTCTGGAATAGTGAAGACAACCAGAGAATGGAATTGGAATGCCATCTCTGTCATGAATTACATATATAACTTTTTTTTACATTTCTTATTTATTTGTTTGTTGTTTGTTTTGTGAGACAAAGTCTCGCTCTGTGGCCCAAGGATAGAGTGCTATGGTGTCATAGCTCACAGTAATCTTAAACTCATGGATTTGAGTAATCCTCTTACCTTAGCCTTCCAAGTAGCTGGGACAATAGGCACCTGCCATAACACCCAGCTAATTTTTCTATTTTTAGTAGAGATGGAGTCTTGCTCTTGCTCAGGCTGGTCTGGAACCCGTGAGCTCAGGTAATCTATCTACCTCAGCCTCTGAGAGTGCTGGGATTACAGATGTGAGCCACAGTACCTGGCCTGGCTTTATTTTTATTTATTTAGTTTTTTGGAGACAGAGTCATACTTTGTCACTCTCGGTAGAGTTCTGTGACCATCACTGCTCACGGCAACCTCAAACTCTTGGGCTTAAGTGATTCTTTTGCCTCAGCCTCCCAAGTAGCTGGGACACAGGCGTCCACCACAACGCCCTGCTATTTTTTTGTTGTTGTGTTGTAGTTGTCGTCGTTTGGCAGGCGTGGGCCAGGTTCAAACCCGCCAGCCCTGGTGTATGTGGCCAGGCACCTAGCCCCATTATTATTTGTTTTTAATTCTGCTTAGGAAACATAGACAAATAGTTGCATACAGTATAGGAGAGAGGGGCTGATTTATTAAAGTTGTTGTTAAATACTATTAACAGATATTGCTATATGACATTTTGAAGAATAGGGATATAAGATAAAAAAAAAAAAAATCAAAGAAAAGGGCGGCGCCTGTGGCTCAGTGGATAGGGCGCTGGACCCATATACCCAGGGTGGCAGGTTCAAACCTGACCCTGGCCAAACTGCAACAAAAAAATAGCCAGGTGTTGTGGTGGGTGCCTGTTAGTCCCAGCTACTCAGAAGGCTGAGGCAAGAGAATCGCTTAAGACCAGGAGTTGGAGGTTGCTGTGAGCTGTGTGATGCCATGCCACTCTACCGAAGGCAACAAAGTAAGACTCTGTCTTTAAAAAACAAAAAAAACAAAGAAAAATACTCCAAGAAGGGAAAGAGGAAAATATTATAGACACCTCCATATAAAGTTAGGGGAAAGAATAATGGGCATGTGAGTAGATAAGGAGAAGAAAAATTCACAAAAGCCACTTTTCTGTATAAAACAACATTTTAGAATAATTAAAATCCAGGCCATCATTCAAAAGCTGTAATGGTTATGTAACCATTTTTCTTGCTGGGATCCATTGTCTTTAAATATTGAAGCATGGCATTTAGCTTGGGATTGGAGTGACTACATGGCTTTGAAAACACTTTTCCAGGTGCTCTGGACTCCTCGGGAGCTGTCAAATGGCATCGAGTTCTCACACGTCAGCCCAGATGGTGAGGAAGGGTACCCTGGAGAGTTAAAAGTCTGGGTGACTTACACCCTGGACGGTGGGGAGCTCGTGGTCAACTATCGAGCACAGGCCAGTCAGACCACACCAGTCAATCTGACCAACCATTCTTATTTCAACCTGGCAGGCCAGGTAAGTGAACTTGCTTCTTCTCTCCTGCTTCTATCTCCCACTTTGGAGCATGACCTGGGGCCGTGGCTAGAAAGACCAACCCAGTGTGGAGTTACTCTGGCAATGGAATCCCCCGCTGTTGTGACCAAAAGGTCCAGCAGAGGGCTCAGGTCTGGGGGAATTTCTCTATAAATAGAAGTTATAGAGAAAGATAGAAGGAATACATAGTACTGCCAAGAGAAGTATCTGCTTCCTATGTGCTTCAGACAAATAACCAGCTATTCAGGAACTCCCTCTCACTGCCTTGTGATGTGTGCTTATGCTGGCTTCCCGTCTTCTACTTCTGCTCCCCCCAGATTACTTGCAGTGAAGCTGTCTCCCACCTTTAGACCACTGGAGATGGACCTGGCCACGCCCCTTTTAGATATGCTGCCCGTGTGCCTGTCTCTCTGTGTAGCCTCCCTGCTCTTCACAGGGCCTCGGTGGCCAGTCACGGCCTGCACAGTACAGTGGAAGGAGCACTGGACTTGGATTGAGAGGACCTGGGTTTAGTCTGACACGAGGAAGGAAATTAAAAAAAAAAGAAAAACTCATCTAGGTTTTTAAGATTAATAATCATATTCTCAATTTCATAATAATAGCTATCTATTATTTGTTGGCCACTGTTAGAAGCACTTTGTGGCCTGGGTGCAGTGGCTCATGCCTATAATCCCAGCACTCTGTTGGCCAAGGCGGTGGATCCCTTGAGCTCTGGAGTTCCAGACCAGCCTGAACAAGAATGAGACCCCATCTGTACTAAAAATAGAAATATTAGCCAGGTGTTATGGCAGGTGCCTGTAGTCCCAGCTACCCAGGAGGCTGAGGCAGGAAGACCAATTGAACCCAGGAGTTTGAGGTTGCTGTGACCCAGGCTGAGGTCATGGCACTCTAGCCTGGGCCACAGAGTGAGATTCTGTCACACACACACATGCACAAAGGAAACACTTTGTGAATTTTTTTTCTTTGAGACAGAGCCTTACTATGTGGTCCTCGGTCGGATGCTGTGGCGTCACAGCTCACAGAAACCTCAAACTCCTGGGCTCAAGTGATTCTCTTGCCTCAGCCTCCCTAGTAGCTGTTTTTGGAGATGAGGTCTTACTCTTGCTTGGGCTGATCTCAAACCAGTGAGCTCAGGCAATCCACCCATCTTGGCCCCTCAGAGTGCTAGGATTACAGGTATGAGCTACTATGCCCTGCCATTTTGTGAAAATATTGATAAAGACTCTCAACCCAGTATAGGGGTAAAAAGACAGTGGGAAGGACACTTGAAAGGTCCACCTGAGAGCCATGCAGAGCCACTGGCAAGCGCCTTAGGTGAGCCCTTCTATAGTACCTCATTCCTTCCCGATGGTAGTGTCTCAGCTTATTGAGGAAGCCTCCCTCCAGACAGAATACAAAACTTAGCTAAGCTCTGTAGATTATATCTGTTACTGCCTCTCTATCTGAAGAACTCATCATTGTCCACTAACTCCATTCATTTTGGTGTGGTTTCCTACCACAAAATGATCTTCACAGCTAACTAGTAGTATCTTGCACTTTTACACTCCTTTAGGAGTTTGCTGATGATGTGCTGGGTTGTTTTTTTCCCCCGTAATCCTCAAATAGCAAAATTAATTAGTTCTTAATAAAATCATATAAAGGTTTCCCTTTGAAAATGAGAAATATGGTCCTTCATTTGCTTATTCCTAACCTTTGGGAATGTCTACCATCCTTCTTGAGATTTTATTTTATTTTATTTTATTTTATTTATTTTTCGGAGACAGAATCTCACTATGTTGCCCTCAGTAGAGTGCTGTGGTGTCACAGCTCACAGCAAACTCAAACTCTTAGACTTAAGCAATTCCCTTGCCTCAGCCTCCCAAGTAGCTGGGACTATAGGCGCCCGCCACAACGCCTCGCTATTTTTTGTACTAGTTGTCATTGTTGATTAGCTGGCCCTGGGCCGGGTTTGAACCTGCCACCCTTGGTGTAGGTGGCTGGCGCCGTAACTGCTGTGCTACAGGCGCTGAGCCATTCTTGAGATTTTAAAAACCAACAAAAAACCAAAGCAAAACGAAAACTACCCAGGCGTAAGAAACTCTACTTTTTATAATAAGTTCAGAAAGAAATGACAGAAATAGAATAAAATATTGTTTAATGTAGTAATGAGTAATGGTGATATTAGTCTGTTTTCTACATTTTTATATACTTAGGACATCCTCTTTTATAATGGAGGAGATTTAAAGGAATAGATTCAGAAATAGGAGGATAAATTGTGCATGAAGGATTCTATCTGCTAAGAATTACTTTTTTGATTGCAGCCGTCATTGTTGTTTGGTAGGCCCTGGCTGGATTTGAACCTGCCAGCTCAGGTGTATGTGGCTGGTGCCTTAGTCGCTTGAGCCACAGGCACCGAGCCATATCTGTTAAGAATTACTAAGGCACTTTCTTTTTACCGCCCTTCTAATCCTATAGGGACTTGGAGTGACAAGTATTTCTGAATCCTTTTCCAAAGGCTGAATAGGTTCCCAGATCAGAGACCCCCAACCAGAAGATTGGTCAATGTCAACTCCCTTCTGTATGCTACAGGTTGAATATCCCTTATCAAAAATGATTGGGACTGTAAGTCTTTCAGATTTTGGATTTTTTTCCAATTTTGGAATATATACTTACTGGTCGAGCTTCTGTAATTCACAAATCCAAAATCCAAAATGTTCCACTGAACATTTCTTCTGAGTATCATGGTGGCACTCAGAAAGCTTCATATCTTGGAACACTTTTGAATTTTGATTTTTGATTTTTGATTTTTATTTTTTGAGACAGAGTCTCACTATGGCACCCTAGTTAGAGTGCTATGGCGTCATTGCTCACAGCAACCTGAAACTCCTGGGCTTAAGGGATTCTCTTGCCTCAGCTTCCCAAGTAGCTGGGACTACAGGCGCCTGCCACAATACCCAGCTATTTTTTTTGTTATAGCTGTCATTGTTGTTGGGCAGGCCTGGGCCAGGTTTGAACCCACCAGCTCTGGTGTATGTGGCTGATGCTGTAGCAGCTGAGCTACAGGCACCGAGTCGGATTTCGGATTTTCTGATTGGGTATACTCAACCTGTATCTCTAAGTGCAGCTTGAAGCCACCAGCTTCCAGGTTGAGGGTGAGTGGGGGCTGCCTGTCTTGAGGGACCCTCAAGTAGCACTAGATGATCCTACTTGGGGCCCAAGCATCAGCCCAACACTTCTAAGTTTGAATGTTGGAGGCCTGGGGGAAGGGATAACTATGTTTTTCAAAGAATGGAAAAATGTATTTAGGTTGCAGGTTGTTTTTTGTTTTGCTTTGTTTTGTTTGCTCTTTCTTATGCCTGACATAAAACTGGAAGAACTGGATTCTTACTGAAACTTTACCTAAAGAACCAAGAAAGCAAGTCTGGGAGGATTTGAGATGAAAAGTTATAGCTGTGGTTCTGGCATGACCAAGTAGATTATGTCGTCAAGAACCCAAGTTCTCACCCTGGGAGGCCGAGGCATGTGGATTACCTGAGCTCATGAGTTAGAGACCGGCCTGAGCAAGAGTGAGACCCCACCTCTAAAAATAGCTGGGCATTGTGGTGGGTACCTGTAGTCCCAGCTACTCGGGAGGCTGAGGCAAGGGGATCACTTGAGTCCAAGAGTTTGAGGTTGCTGTGAGCAATGACTCTGTGGCACTCTACTGAGGGTAACAAAGTGACACTCTGTCTCAAAAAAAGAAACCCAGGTTCTTCCCTTTTTCTATCAGCTTCCTCTGTGTTTTGGCTTTTGTCTTCATACATGTCCCTTCATGGTCACAAGATGTTTGCCACACTCCAGAAATCATCTCCTTACATAGTCATATCCAAAGAGAAAACGGATGTATTTCTTTTTTCATATCTCTAATGTTCCCTTTTTTCAAATTTTTGCACATAAAGGATTTATTTTAAATGTTGTAAGGATAATGTTCCCTTTTTTTTTTTAATTGTTGGGGATTCATCGAGGGTACAAGAAACCAGGTTACACAGATTGCATTTGTTAGGTAAAGTCCCTCTTACAATCGCGTCTTGCCCCCAAAAGGTGTGGCACACACCAAGACCCCACCCCCTCGCTCCT